GGCCGGACTGCAGAAGTTTACTACTTGCCAATACCAATTCGAAGCGGTGTCATACTTTTGGGCTTTGTGCTTGCACTAGATTTGAAAAAGTTTTCCCTAGGAACTTGGGAGATAGGCAGGGTCATGGTTTAAGGTTCCATTTCGGACATCGGGGAGTTCTGCAGGGGATCACTAAACTGACCGGGTATATTGTCTCCAAATTCGTACCCCTGAACCAAATGAAGCTTTGTTTCCAACACGGAAGCCCTAGCCAATCCTGGACCTTTGATAAGTAGCATCACAGCAGAAGGTACCATTTTAAGGAATTGCATACCAAATCACTAAATACCCACTACCGAACCCGATTCTAAGACAGAGCACAATCAAACCCTGCGCTTGCCAGGGTGGCGCTGCAGTGGCTCTATCGGGGCCGGTCAGAACTATGTGGCTTCTAGGGCTTCCTACGGTTTGACTTCTCGGGCGGGTTCTTAAGACTCTGGATGTTTATAGGTCTTCCACTGGTTAAAATTAGTCTAGTTTCCACTGAACCCACCTCAGTCCGATAAAGCTGCTAAACAAAAAACCGAAGCGGGCTAGAGCTGCACTAATTCTAGGAAAGGCCGAGGAGGTCTTAAAATCAGGGTATGCATGAGCAGTGAAACACCCGGGGTTCCTTGGGTTGTCCCGAGCCAAGCAAGTGATACTATATAAAGTCCCGAACCCCTACCCCCGACACTCCTATACTTGAAATAATTGGAAAGTATCCAAGAAACACCCCTCGAATAAGCAACCTTCAGGGTTTCACAGGGCTACAAGTCAACGAGTATGGTTATACGTATTCGATGGTATACTTACAGGACAACATCTAGAAGTATCATACATACCCCAGTACCCTCTTAGAGATATCAGATACTTCGTTGGCTTATGTCGATATATGTATGTATCCTGTAGGGAAACCCTCAGTCCCTTCAACCCAGGATAAACACACGGGGAGGGCGGTGGCACCCGAGCTGGTAGATGATGTCGTCGTAGGCAATGGGTCTCCTGCACCGATTGGGGTCGATTGGTTTGTCTTGCTTGGATGCTGGAAAAGGGATCCCTTACCAGGTATGGTGTTTCTAATCAGTATGATATATTGGACTACAACAAGAAAGTGGTTTTAGGTCGTTCTCTGGGTAGACCAGGAGGGAGGATTGCAAAAATTGGTAAAACCAGTTTCCCGAACCCCGCTGCCAGGGCCTAGATTTTCTGTTGCATTCTTGCGCGTTCTGTTGGCTCTTTTTGGTTTTCTGGTGGTGTTTTTTGGTTTTCTGTTGGGGATCCGTTGGCTAGGTTTTTGAGCTGGGAGCGCTGTTTTTGGTTTTTTCAGGTCCTTGAGGTTCAGGAGAAGCATTTTTTGTGTTTTTCAGGTTCCTTCTGTTGTTATATGGTTATGGGGTTTGGGTTTTTTGCTTATCGAAGCTTGAGCTTGGAGATTCCGGGGTTTGTGTGTTGTGCTGTGTGGCTCTCGGGCGGTTTGCGTCAGCTGCTGACGGCTTTGAGGTTGTCAAGGTCTGGTTTTGGTGTTGCTCTGGTGCTTCAAAACCACACAATGTAAGACTCTTAAAGCTGACATGGAGTGTATATAGAAGTTTTAACCGATGAGAGTACCTAATGTTGTATAAACATATTGAGTTGGCTGGCTTCTACAGGGCACATGATACCTAAAGTTGTTTGGCTGTTGGGACCAAGCACAACTGTCTTAGGGCATGTTATTGTCGTGCACCTTACCCTTGCTAATTATTATAAGTCCCCCGACCCTCGGAGTATGTGTTCCCGAAAATCTGGGCACAAACCCACCCAGGGTATTAGTGCGAGCATGCATACAAAGCTTTCAATGAACCGTAAGGTAGTTGCAAGGCTTTCGGGGTTCGTGAAGAAAAGCTAACCCTCAAGATCCTTACACTAGGCAAGCTACAAATCAGGCACACAGCCCACATGATTTCCAGCTAGCCTGGATCTAGCCTTTTCTGGCGCCACACCCCTGCAAGATCAAGCTCAGCAGACGAATTAGAGGCTCCTGCAGCAAGGATTACGGCTATGGCTAAAACCACAGCATGGCTATGGCTCCAACCACAGCACTGGTTCATGCGATGCCAAGTGCACACTTGAGCTCCTGAGGTAGATTCGTGCTCTTACTTCTCAGTAAGTAAACGACGACCTCGTCCATCGCTGAATCCTCCATCCAGTACTTGGATGCTTCATCGTCATAGTACTTCAAGGCCCCCAGTAGCAGTTCCATTGAAGCATCAGGAGGAAGAGCCTCTTAGCATTTCATGAGAAGGATCACAACACCTAACATACGTAGTTATCTTCTTCATACACATGCATGCCTGGATGTGTGTATGTCTGTGGGTCTGCATACATACACTTTTCGGAGTCTATAAATGTATATGTATCTATATATATATGTATGTATACCTACATAGACAGGTAGGTAGACACATGTATGCATGCACATGTATATATATATATATACACACACACACATATATATATATATGTATACGTGTGGTTGAGTGTATAGATAGGGGGGGTTGGGGGGGGGTAGGGAGGGGGGTTTTCTCATGAACCAA